GACAAGAAGCTGGACTCTTGCAAGGCCGAGCCCGAGAAGAAGCGCAGCCGCCTCTGCAAGCCCACAACGACGAGGCAGCGCGATGGTTTGCGCTCCGTTGTGGGCCCTGCCTCGCCTTCAGCCTCGGCTCCGGGCCCTGACTGAAGCCTTGAGGCGTCTCGCGAGCCGCTAGGGGCTCTGAGCGAGGTGCCTTCGGGCAGAGTTGTGGGCGAGTTGCTGGGGGCTCTCAGAGAGGTGGCCACCAGCCTCGAGGGCGCCAGAAAAAGAGAGGAGTAAAACCGACGGGGACCAGAGCAACATATTTGACGACAGCAAGAACAAAGGCACCCTCAAGCAGCACAACACGCGCAAGCAACATAAGCAACAGCACACAACATACATAACAACCAGCAAGCACAACAGCACCACCAATAACAGCAGCAGCAACAGCAAGCACGACTGAAACACCAGCGACCAGCGAAACAGCAAGCCACAACAGCAACAATACAAGCAACAACAACAACAACAACGAGCAGCCACCAAGAAGCCCTCAACGACAAGCTAACAACGGCACGCTGACAACAAGAAGGCAACAACAAGCAGCGAACAAGGACATGGCAACACCAGCCAGAAGCCTGCAACTTTCCGTAGCCACGTTGGCTCGAGGATTTGGTTTCCGAGCCACTGCAGGTTTGCGGCGAGACGCCGATGGCCGCGCCGACGAAGCAGACGAGCTTGTCGCGCCTCTGGGAATTGGCCAGCTCGCCTTCGCGGCCCCGAACTCCCACAAGAAGCTGAGACCCCCCCCCCCCCCGACGAGAGCGCCGAGCCAGCTGCGAACTTCGTCCAGGAACTCGAGGCCGAGAGGCTCGAGGCTGAGATGGCGGGGAAGGATGCCTCCTTGTCTTGATCCCCCTCCTCCGTCCACCCCCCCCCTTCTTCCTTCTCGCATTCCCCCCCCCCAGGCGCTGAAAACATGTGCACCCCTTGGCTTTTTCTATCTCCCGCTGGGCCCCGCCGTGGACCCCCCGCCCGCGAAGTTGAAAACGATTGTTTTCCGATCGCAAGCAATAATAATAAGAAGAAGCCCCGAATTCAATTTGCGGTGGGGAAATCGATCCCGAGGCCATCCTCCGCCCTCTTTCTCCCCCCGCCTTTCTCTCCCCCCCTTCCTTCTAGCGCTCCAACTCCTAGGCGGCCTTCGAGGCCGAGAAGGCCATGCACTCGGCGCAACACAGCGACCAGATGGAACAATTTGACCAGGCCTACTCGAGCGCAGGGGAGGGGGCAAGCACAGGATCACCCTCATCAGCACCTCCGCAGCCGAGGCTTGGTTCGACCCGAGCAGGGGGCCCAAGTCCGCCAAGAAGCGCAGCGCGTTCCCTGCCCCCTGCGCAAGACATTGCCGACGGAGCGACGCGAGCCTCGGGCGCCCGGCGGCGCGACGCCACCTACGAGTGGAGCGATGGCGAGACGGGGCGCTTCCGCGCAGGCGAGCCCGTAGGAGCATCGATCATTTCCGTGGGAGAAATAACGAGGGTCATCGGGGCCATCGACGCGCGGGGGCAGCCCGGGGCCCGAACGTACGAGCCCGCCGCCTCCTGGACCATCGACTTCATCGAGGAGCAGCGCGGCCAGAGCCTCGTGTTCGCAGACGGCCTCTCGAGCCAGTGGACCGAGGCAGTGGCGCTCCGAGCCTGGCTCCAGAATGTGATCCACGCGCCCGTGGCCCCCGACGTCACGGGCTTCTTGCAGGGGCCAGATGCCCACGAGCACGGCCAGCTCAAGGCCGCGATCGCAAAGGTCAAGGCCGAGATGCAGTAGGCCATGGAGCAGGACTGGATCCAGAAGGCCAAGGCCGAGCCTCAGCAGCAGCACGAGGCCTCGACCCAATGGGGGCTTTACGAGGGCCTCCGCTGCGTCTCCGAGGCCGACGCACGCTTGCGCGAGAAGAACAAGTACGCGGTGCCGCTCCACGGGCTACAAGCGAACCAACTGCTCGCGGTCCTGCCGACAGTGCAGGGCGAGCTCAAGGTCGCCCTGGGCATGGAGCCGTGGAGCTACCCATCGAGCCCGGCCGCGGCATCGAGCAGAGCCTGGCGAGGGAGCACCTGGAGGGCATGCAAAGGTGGCCCGAGGGAGTGCCGCCCGTGCCTGAGTGGAGCGTCCTCCACGGCAACTGCATCCACAACGACGACTTGCCCAGGGACTGCGAGCAGGGCGAAAGCCCCTGCCTCCTGGAGCTCCGAGAACTGGACCCCGAGCTAGCCGGCGAGCAGACGGACATGCTCAGAACGCCAGAAGAGGTGATCAAGGAGATCCAGTTCCCGCGCGCCCTCGAGAACCGGATCAAGGCGTCGCGAACAAGGCTCGCAAGAACAGGTGGGCGCCCAAGTTCTCGGGCCAGTTCGCCGGCAAACACGCGCACGCACGGCAGCCTGAGAAAGCCAAGATTGGCGGCGAGGCCTCGCTCGAGCACCTGAGCCAAGGCGACGCCAAGGCGGAGCTCACAGGCAGGCTGCCGAAGGCGAAGACGAGCTTCTCCCATGAGTCCCAGCAGAAGAAGCAAGCGGAGAAGCACGCCAAGAAGCATGCGAAGGCCAAGAAGAGAACGAGCCTCGAGGCTTGCGGGGACCCCCCCTAACATGGCACGGTGGCGCGCGTCACCGAGGAGGGAGTCCACGAGGGCAGGCGCGGCAATGCGCAGGGCGTCTGGCGAGTCCCGGCACCGAGGACGTTCGCCGCCTGCGCGCCCTCGAGGTGGAGACCGCGGCGACCTTCCAGATCGAGAGCAGCAAGGCTGGGCGGCTCACAAGCACTCGTCCGCCTCCGCCCGCTTCCGACTGAGGCGGCGGAAGCAAGCGGAAGTTAGCTCAAACGGCGGAAGTTGGCGGAAAGTTGGCGCAAGCAGGCGGATGCGACACCAAGCGGAAGCAGGCGGAAACTAACGAGTGCCTGCGAATCCCGAGCGCCACAGGTCACGATCGAGAAGGAGTGGAAGCTCCCCAAGCCGCACAAGCTCGCTCGACTGGCGCCCGACCAGACTGGCTCGCCGCGCCGAGCAAGGATTACGCGATCATGAATTTCGAGCAGATCGCCAAGAGCGACGCCCTCGAGCTGGGCACAGTGCGCGCGCTGCTGGGCGGGATCGAGGAGCGCGCGGGCGTCCCTGAGACCGTTCTGGACGTCGAGCCCACGGCGGCCGTCGCCTGGGTTCGAGAGGGCCAAGGCGAAGGCGAACACGCCGCCCAGCTGCCCGGGGGGCAGAGGCGCCTGCGCGCGCTCCGAGGCGCCCGCGCACTACGCCGACCTAAAGGTCGGCGGTTGCTGCAATTGCCCCTGCTCCAAGGTGCTTCCAGTTGTTCGCCCCGTTGTGGAGCGAAGCCTGGAGGCGCCCTGGGCAGGGGGCGCATGTAGCACCGCCCGCCAAAGTCTAGAGGGTCGGCGGGGGCGTCGCGGTGGAGCGCCGCGACGCCCCCAAGCAGCCGCCCGAGAACGCCAAGCAGGCCCCAAAGGGCCACGTGCGAACTCGCACCTACGCCCCACGATATTCGAGGGGGGTAGGTTTCACTTTGCTCGGGAGCTGCCGAACGAAGTGAACCCCGCCCTCCTCCTCAGAAGTCGCGGGTAAGGCTCGAAAGTGTCCTCCCAAGGCCGCCGCGAGGATCCTCCGCAAGCTCGGCGCCATTGGCCCTGGCGAGACCAGCCCTGCGAGGAGCAACGTGATGTTCCAGGCCGGCGCCTGGTCCCACGGCTTGTGCACGAGTCGCTGGATCGAGCGCGCCCTGCGCGCTCGATCCGAGGCGAGGGCCGCCGAGCGCCCGCGAGCATCAGCACCTTGCGCGCCCGAGGCAACGAGTGGATCGACAAGGTCAAGGAGGCCAGCGACAACGACTTGGCCAAGGCCAAGGCCAATAACAAGTCCAATCCAAGATGTTGGCCAAGACAACGATCTGGCCAGGCCCCGCAGCCGTCGAGTCGAAACGCGCCACTCTCGAGGAGGCAAGCGCTGCCGCCCAAGCGCACACCGAGCGCCTCCCGTGCAAGGGCGGCCCCAAACGGTGCCGAGCCTGCATGGGCGAGCGTTTTGAAGCCGCGCGCAATAAAAAGGTTTCTTAACCAAAACGGCCAAGGACCCCTCTTGCGCAGGCAAGTTGTAGCCACGAGCTTCGAGATTTGTCGAGTCAATCTTGCGCCAAGATCTACAAGGTCAGTCCATGGAAGCGCCCAGGATCACCATCATCAGCGTCGTCCTCATCATAACTTGTAACTAACACCACTTCGCCCGGGGAAATCGTCGATTATCCCCGTCTGGCCCCCGACTTCTGTTATCCCTGAGTGATTCTTGTCCGGTGTCCTCGGTTAGTCTGTTCGCTCTCTCTACAGTGGAGACCCATGCCAAGAAACACCGCGCTTGCCTCCTGGTGCCCCATAGTTCTTGGGTGTCGGTGGTTTTGCTACGGAAAGCGTGACGTTCCCACGCCAAAAATCGATGGACGCCCTGGGGTCTCAAGGTTTTTTTTTGTGTCGGAGGTTTCTTGTGGATTGGCCTCCGGTGTATCGGTTCCGTTATTGGTTCCTCTGCTTGTGTTTCCCAGACCGCATATCGTCGGCAGCGCGATGTTAAACTTGGGTATGCTTTGTGGTTGGCCCGCGATCGGTTCACGGAATTGCAGCATGGCTGTGGTGTTTCCCCCCCTCGTCCCCCCACAAATTGTCCTGGCTGGCTTAGGCTCTGCCGTATTTCATGAGGGAAGGAACCACGCTGACAAAATTAATCGTTGAGTCCCAGGAAAAGATGGGAACATGTGGGACGTGGGGGGGAGAAGAACACCCAGAAAATATTAGAACAAATGGAGAGTCCCGGGATTGTGTCGATGCATTTTTGTGTCCGTGGGCCCTCTTCGTATCGTGTGCATTCGGGGTCGACCCCGCATTGACGTGTTGAGCTCAGGCGGAGCGTCTCGGGCCCTGCGGTCACCCATGCTCCCTACATGTTGTCAGAGCTTGCGCCGTGGAAGGATCTCGTGCCCTTAAAACTGGAGGCCACGGATCAGAAGATGCTCGACAGCGGAGGTGGTAGGGGTGTCTTCTGCTGCGCGGTGTCCAAGCACCCCATCACGTTTCAGCAGGCGCTCGGGACGGAGGGGGCGGGAATTGCCTTGGGCCGCAGCGGGGGGATGACTGCAGCAGGGAGAATTCCATTGCCCCCGAGGAGAACAGAAAGACTGATTGGTCAGGTGTTGTGCTGGTGCACGGTTGCAGCGGTATCAGCGCAGGGATTGTAGTGGAAGGGGAAGGGGATGTCGAGATCCAGCAAGAATCAGCGTGGTGAGGCGGTGGTGCTGAAGCCGTCCGGCGTCGTGGTGTTAGAAAGCGTTCTGAAGGATTGCCGCAGCCCAAGTCAAGGCGGTCCATTGACTCGTGCATGTGTCAGTGTGACTGCTTCTTGTTCTCCACATCCAAAGTGGACAGATTGTTGTCTATGTGCACCTTCCTCGCAGGATCTCACCCCCTTCTCCTGCTGACCTCCTCTGCTCACTGAATCCCCCACTCACCCACTCCCTCACAGACACACTCACACACTCCTGTTCCTCATCATCTATCGCCCACCTACTCACTCACTCATCATCATCTCCACTCACGCACTCTCTCGACACTATCACTGGTCATCGACTTATCATCATCACCATCACCACCACCGTCGTCGTCAACATCATTATCACCATGTCACCATGTCATCCTCATCATCATCATCATCATCATCATCATCATCATCATCATCAGCATCATCATCATCATCATCATCATCATCATCATCATAATCATCGACCATAGGTCGAAGTGAACTGTCAGGAAGACTCGAGTGGGAACACCCTCCCTGAGGGCCCCGCACTCCATGTTCGAACCCGAGGCGGGTCATCGGCCTACCATAGCAGGCATAGCACTTAAACACCCCAGGGAACCTCGTCTGCGAGTGCAGTGCGGGGACGTCTCGAGCGGGAACTGCCTCCCCAAGGGCCCCGGGGCCTCGTCTGTGAGTGAGGCGTGAGGAACTCTCAGGCGGAAGCCCTCCTCTTTATGGGGATCCGACATCACATTATTCCGAGGTTGCCATCGGAACCCTGTAGCTATCGTCATTGTTGGGTTTCCTCGAGTTCGAGTATGGAGGAAGTCCTTCCGCCACGCGTATGTGGAACATGTTGATTCTCTGGCCGCCCGAGCGAAAATTCCCTGTGCGCAGGCCTTTGGCGTCCTTGCTGGAGGCGCCCAGGAAGTTCAGCAGGGCAGCGAAGAGCTCCAGGGCTGAGGCAGAGCACCTCGCGGCAGAGCTAGGCTTCGCGCTGCTTTCCGCCTGTGAGCGACCGCGAGGAGCTCGAGGCCTGCGGGGTTGTCCCGATGGTTTGCTCCCGTCCCCCCGCGGCTCGCGGATTCGTCCCAAAAGGCCCTGCCCGCCGAGGTGTCCCCACCGCCTGGCGATCTGGCCATCGGAGAACGCGCCCCTGCCCGGTGCGGCGGCGACGGCGTCAAGGAACGTCGGTCTGCGTGTCCCAGCCAGAGGGAAGCAGCGGCGCACGAGGAGAAACGCGGCCCGCGGGGCTCGCAGGTCCCGAAGGTCCCACATCCCCCACAGGTCAAAAAAGGTCTCCCAGGTGCCCCACAGGCCCCACAGGTCCTACGTGCCGCACGGGGGCCACAGGTCCTACAGGTTTCACAGGTATCACAGGCCCCACAGGTCGCACAGGCCAGACAGGTCGCACAGGTCGCACTTGTCTTAAAGACCAGTCAGGTTTCAGAGCCCCACGGGTCCTGCGGGCCCCACAGGTATCAACGGCCCCGCAGGTCACATCTTGGTATCCTCGCGTCCCAGCGTTGTCACCATCGCTGGTCGTCGACGATGGCGATTCTCGTGCGCCGTGAGAAGATTCTCCTGCGGGGTCTTTCCGTCGGAGTCATTCAAATGACTTGCGCCCTTCCGCCGACCCCAGAAGAGAAACGGAATCCACGGTTAAGGCCTTTGGCATGTTGGGAACCGCTCGAACGGCCTAGTCGGGCATGGTTTGGGTTTTTGTTGGGAGCCTCTTGGAGCCTCATGAGGGTCTGTTGAGCGCCTGGTGGCAGTCTCGGGAGCCTTCTTGGGGCGGAGGGCCCAGTATGTCAGTTCGAGTTCCCTCCTTTGGGGCCACATTGGGCCGTATTGGGTGCCATTTGGGGCTCGTGGGGCTCGTTTGGGCCGTCTCGGGGCTTCTTCAAAGACCCAATGGGCCGTCCTGGAGCGATATCGGGAGCTTTTTGGGCCGATTGGGGCACTATTGACACCAGAAGGTGCGTATTCTAGACTTATAGACGCTGTGTTTCCTGAGGAATTTCGGTGACTGTTGCCTCTTGCGGCCCCTCGGAGGTCCTCATGGAGCTGCCCAGGGGCGTCTCGAGGCCTCTTTGGCGTGTTGGAATTCAGTTTAAGCAAGCTGCGACTGAATGTTCAGCATCTCGCGGGCGGCAAAGAGGGTGGTGATGACTAGACGGGGGTGGATCTCATGGCCGGCGCCAGGATCTCTCCCCAGATGCGTGGGCTTACGCCACACCGCTGGCCCCTCGGGGAGCTGGCGGCTGTGGCGTGCTGGCTCCTGGCGCCATTTTGGGGTTTCGTGGGGGCCCATGGGGGAGCCTCGTGAAGCTTCGTGGAGGCGCCTTAGAGGCCTTGGGGGGCCGAGGGCTCGAAATATGGGTTCGGGTTCCCCTTCGGGGCCCTGCCTGCAGCGCTCCAGGGAATCTTTTGGTCCATTTGGGAAGCATCCGAGGCCGTTTTGGGGGCCGTGTGGAGGTTCGTTCTCCCTGTTTGGGAGCCCTGTTGGAGGCCTCTGGGGCAGTTTGGGGGATCTTGGGGGCTTCTTGGACCGTCGTGGAGCGTCGGCCGAACAGGCGCGAACAACAACATCTGTCAAATGCGGGTTGAGAGTCCAAGAATGTTGCCTCTTTAGGCCCTCTTTCAGGAGGGGAAAAAACACACAGACACACTTAATCGTCGATCCCCAAGCAAATATAGGAAAATATGGGAAGTGGGGGGAAGACAAAAACCCAGAACATGTGGAAAAATATGGAGAATATTTTTATTTGTGTGTATTTATTTGTGTGTCCTGGGGCCCCTTCACTCTTGGGTGGGCTCTTGGAGGCCTCCTGGGGCGGTTTGGGGACGTCGTGGGCCGTGTGGAGGCCATCCTGGCCGTCCTGGAAGAGCCTCCGGCGCTCGGGGGCTCTCTTGGACCGTCGTGGGGGTCTCTTGAGGCCCTCTGGGCTCGTTGTGGGGCCTTCTATCCTCCCGTGATGCGTTGGGGCCAGGCCCGGAGGATCCCGGCGGACCCCCCTCCCCCCAAGTCGACCAGACCAGGGTTCGGGAGGAGGGGTCGTGGGAGGGATAAGCATGTCACACGCCGATGACACCCCGAGGGGTCGGGGGATTGTGCGTCAGGGCCGTCTTGGACAATCTACCGCGTGCTCGCCAAAGATTCCGCCGGGGCCCACGGCAATCGCGGCACAGCCCGCACCGGCAGTAGGTATTTCTGCGGCTGGCATGTTCGGTGTTCGCCGTGTACGCAGATGGGAAGGGGCGAGAACCAGCGTGTACGAACGGCGGGCATCTTTTGAAATACCAGAAGAATGATTATCGAAGGGCCTTCAGCAAATCTCGCTAATTACCGTGCCTGAGCTGTGGGTGTGGGGCCGCGCGGATGGCAGACGGGGTCTCATGGGAGGCGTCTCGGGGGCTTTTTGGAAGCAGTTGTTGGAACCTCTTGGGGACCTCCTGGGGCCTCCTGAAGCGTTTTGGTGGGGGTCTCATCGGAGCTCCCTGGGAGCCTGTTGGGGGCTTCTTGGGGCAACCGGGCGGCGGTGTGGGGTCAAGGGCTCGAAATGTCTGTCCGGGCTCCCCTTCTGTGACCCTTCTTGGGGCTGTCCTGGGCTCCCCTGGGCCGTCTTTGGGGGGTTCTTCAGCGGTCTTGGGGCCCTATTGGGTCGTCTGAAGGCCCTTTTGGGGGCCACTTGGGCTGTCTTGGGGCGATCCATGAGGCTTCTTGGGCTGTCTTGGACGTTGCGAACGCACAAGTGGCGAATGTGCTTGAGATGCACGTTTACCCGTGAGAGTGCGACGATGTTTGGTCCTTGAGGCAGGGCTTCTTGGGGTGCCCTGGGGGCCTCCTGGACCGTCTGGAGGCCAGCGTGGGCATTTTGGACTGATCTTTCGGCGGCTCGTAATCCTCTCGGACAGTCCAGAGGGCCGCCTCCTTTGTACCCTCTTGGCATGTTTTTGGGCCCTCTGCCCCCCCGTGGCGCGTTGCACCCCTCCCTGTGGCCCCCCCCCTTCCAAGTGGACAGGACTGGGCTCCCGGGGGACTGGGTTGGGGAGGGGGAAGCACCTCCCACGCCGATGAACCCAAAGGGGGCGGCGGATTTCACGGCGCCTCTATGTCACTACATCCCTTGCTCCCGTCTCAGTCCGCGCACATGCCTCGGGCCATGATTTGGGACCCCCCTCTTGGATGCCCTCTCTTGAACGCCCCCGATCGCTCCAAATGCGTTTCTCAGATCCCAGGGGAGGGGGAAGACAGCCAAGCATCTCGCACGCGTTTGCACCTCAGGCAAGCGGGGGTCGGCGGATACATCGGGAGCCTTGAGACGGGGTCAATGCAAACGGGGATCAGCCAGAGCGCCCGATCCTGCAGGATCCTGCAGGATCCTGCAGGATCCTGCTAAGCCCGACCGGCCCAGGTTTGCATTGACCTAGGTCAGTAGATCCCCGACGTCGGATCTGTGGTTTTGAGGGGCGCGGACATGTCCGGAAGCAGTGGCAAGTATCCATTAGTGGCATAACCTCATTGCACATCGTGTGCAGACTTGCGTCATCAGAGAGACCAGCGGATGTGTTACCCGTGACGGCATGGTTGACCTAGAGATGTGTTCTTGCGATTGGTTCACCCCTGGGTGGCCTCTCCATGATAGCAGCTCCCCGCCACCTCTGTCAGGGGGGGTGCCGCGCGGAGGCAGGGTGATGCGCAGGTTGTCTAAGCCACTCCCACGCTCCCCCCTGCGGCAGCAGCCAGACATGCAACCGTCTTTGCCGACTGTCTGGAAACTGGGCGCGCTGATCCCCCTTTGGGGTCCAGCCGAACCTTTCCCAGACTCGGCTCCACACTCGAGGTCTGCTTGGACGGCACCGCAAAACTTCGACTGGTCGGCTTCTTCACCCAATCGCCTTTGGGCAGCCTAGGCTTGTGATGTTCCACCCTGCTTTAGCCTTGACCGCCTGAAAGAATTTCGAGCATACCAAAACACGTACCGAAACTCGAGGGGTGTCACGTGCCGGGCCCTGGGAGGCACTCGTCCGACACTATTTCCAGTTAACAGATCTATACAACGCCATTGAGGCGAGAGCTTGCTGGCCATGGCAGCTCATGACGGTCCTAGTCATGTTGCAGGTCAAGACACGTGAGGCCGACAGAGCAATTGGCTTACTGCCGTGGCTCCCGCGCCTGTGGGGCAGGCTCAGACATTTTGAGCGAGCTGAGTGGTGCAAAAGGCGTGCAGGTCATTGGGACACAGCTGTTGCTGGGTCATCGACGCTCAGGGTAGCTGCGTGGAGAGCATTTCAGGACGAGCTTGCAGAACAGTCAGTCGTACCAGATTTAGTGCACGCAAGCCTGCTGTGGGACGTACAGGGCTTCTACGACTCCTTGTCGTGGGAGCTTGTGCTTTCCAAGGCGCTTGCATTAGGTTTCCCAGCAATTTACTTAGCGCTCGAACTTCAGATGCACATGTCGCCTAGGTTTTTGAGGGAGGAAGGATTTTTTTCAGAAGCGATTCAACCCAGTTTGTCTCTCATCCCAGGCTCGACAGGAGCTGTGGACCTAGGCAGATGTGCGCTCTATTTCATTTGTGAGGAAGTGGCCAGATGCCCTCCTCCAACGCCAAGCCTCCACACCTGGGTAGACGACATCGTACAACGTTGTGAGGCACCGAGGCAGAGGCTTGTGGACATACTTTTCAAGGCAGGACAACAGCTGGTAAATGGTCTGCAGGCAGTCAGTTTAGCGACGGCGGATAAATCGTGCGTCATCTCATCGTGTCCCCAGACGGCTCGTGAACTGGCCCAGCGCTTTGCAGCAGCCAACATCAGCATCCAGGTGAAACCAAATGCGCCAGATTTAGGATTGGACCGAGGCAGAATAGCAAAACGTAGACCCAAGCAGGCAGCGAGACGAGTTGCAGCAAGTTTTAAGATCCGCAAGCTCTCGAGGTTTGCGAAGGGAGCACGTAAGCACAGGGAGCTGTCCAAGAGAATGATTTCGGTCTCGGTTTTCGCTCAGTCGCGTTACTCGGATCAGGTGTACGGGACAGCTCCCAGCATAGTGCAGCGCTGGAGGCGAGCGATGGCCGACCTGTCGAGCAGGAAAAAACACGGCCGTTGCTTGACGACCCTCCTAGCGCTAGAATACGGTACGCAGGATCCAGCATACACAGCAGTTTTTGATGTAGTCAAGATGTGGTTCTCCATTCTAGGTGATTTAAGGGTGAATGTGGAGCGTGTGCAGAGGGGTTGGGGAAGAGCGCTAGCCAATTTAAGCAGCAAGGCCCCCAGGCAACGCTGGAGGCGAGTGTGCTCACCCATGGCGGCCACGATCTGTACCATGCTCGATCTAGGTTGGAATCCTGAAGGGCCTTGGAGATGGCACAGTGACATCGGAGAGACCTTCGAGGCCCCAGAGGAGATGATCGGGAGAGGCCCTCTCGACAAGCCGCACATTCTTTATGCGTGCATAGCGGACAGTATCGGTAGGAGACTCTGGGCGAAGGCGGCCAAGAACTCCTGGATGGGAGAAGGGCTGCAACTTGTGCCCGACATGAAGGGCCCCCGTCGACAGTGCCGCATGGCTTTAAAGCGTAGCGATTTTAAATGGAAGGGCCTTTTGCAGTGCGTCATGACAGGAGCAACATGGTGTAGGCAGAGACTTTTTGAGTATGGCCTGGAGCCTGACCCCGTGTGCTCACGCTGCGGACAGGCTCTTGAAACTGACAAGCATCGTTGCTGGGAGTGCCCAGCCAATCAGGAGTTTCAGACGATTTCCAGCGGCATAATTGCAAAAGCGCGAATAGAGTCGGATAGTATGCCCAGCATGTGGATTCGAGGATTGGTGCAATCTACTTGGACTAGCGTCCCGGATCCGACAGACGAAGACATCAGCTATGTTTTTGGTAGGTCAAGCCACCAAGTTTTCGGTGATCCAGGCGTCATCTTTGGAGGAGGAGACGCCAGCGGAGGAAAAGATCAGGATCCCAAGCTGCGCCGGGTGGCCTGGGCCTTTGCTACCCTTGGTGGATTCCGTGAGGACGGGAGTTACGATGTGGGTGAGTTGAGGTTGGGGCACTTGCAGGGAGGGAATCTGCCAGGCTTTTTTCAGACAGTAAACCGTGGTGAAGCCACGGCGTTGCTAGAGTTTGCAGTTGCAGTCCTTCCGCTGGCGCACGCAATATATGTGACGGACTCGGAGTATATCATGCGGGGAGTCGAGAAGCTAAAAGTAGGCAAGCTTCTTGACACGCATGTGGATGTCTGGCGGCGTCTTGGAGAGACGCTGGCGAAGCACCCAAACAGAGGAATTCGCGTGCTCAAGGTGGAGAGCCACCTTAACGCGGAGGAGGCGATCGAACAGAGAGTTGATCCTGCCACCCTCTTTGTCAACGCTATCGCGGACACCGCAGCGAGCAGACTTGCTGAGGAGTTCAGAGCTTCGTTTGCTGACAGGTGCAGGGTGGAAATGGCAACGGCAGTAGGTTTTTCGGTCAGGAAACATTTAGCCAAAGTCCTAGAGAATGTGATTGAGACGGTGCCCAGACATCAGCCCAGTAGGAGAGCCCTGTCTGAGAGAAGAGAGAGGGAAGCGCGCAGTATCCAGATCACAGAGCACAATGGTGCACACATCCTAGGCTCCAGAGTGAGATGCAGGGAGTGTGGAGGATCCGCGCCGAGGAGAGAGTTGAATCGTTTCCTTGACACTCCCTGCGTGAAGAGTTGAATGAGAGACGTGGTGCTCTCACCAGCGGGAAGACAGGTCTTCAACGGCCGCGAGCTGCATGTCTCACACGCAATCGGAGTCCATCAAATGTATGGGATTTTGATATGTTTGAAATGCGGGTTCTATGCCCAGAAAGGGGCGAGGAACCTCATTCTTCCCTGCCAGGGCCGACCGACAGCTCACGGGAAACGGGCCCTGCGCAGGCTTCAGAAAGGTGAAGTACCAGCTGTGCGGTCAAGAGAGACCGACAGAGTTACAGCGGAGAATTAGTAACAGGTTGAGCCAATGGCTGGAAACAGAAAAAAAAAAACACCTTTCCGGGTGCTCGAACTTATTTCTGGGATGTGGTCTTCAAGTACGAGGGGAGCAGCATAAGCCTGGGCAAGGGCGGCGCAGTTGGAGTTGCCCCGCTGATTGGCCCGAGATGTGCTTCCGGCGTCGCCAGGGGGCAGGCTCCCCCAGGTCTGTCCCGATGTCCCCCGCCGGCCCGAGGGTTGCCCGGGCCCGTGGGGACCTCTGCACCAGTCAAGCAGTGGCGAAGCGTCCGGGCGTGCCCACAGGCCTGCCGAACAGTGTTCTAAGAACCTCCTGTGGTTTCCACGAAACGTTCTCAGAACATTTCTGGCTGGGACTTGTTTGTTTTCACACGTCGGGTTTTCATTATAGGAACATTGTTTTGCTCTTAGGACATTTGGGTTCTAAGAAGATTTCGTGTTAGGCCTATCGGAATGCCGGGACGGAAGGCCCCCGCTCAAACCAGGGCGGGGCCACGAACCACGATAATATGCTTATGAGGACTTCGTGTGCTCGGCACGTACTGTCAGGCTTGTACCAATCGCAAGCAGGCATTTGGCAAGGGCGCCGCACCAACGGCAGCCTGGACACGAAAATTCCAGTTTGCTATTCTTTCATTCGGCGGATGCGCTGGGCGTTTTGCACCCGAGAGCGAAGACACACAAGCGATAACGTTTACTTTTGCGACAGACTCGTCCAAGGCTTGCTGGCAACCGGGATACTGCACGCCACACTTCGCAAGTCGGCAGTTGGTCAGCAGTCTCCCGCGGAGATGATCAAGCGGAGGTTACGGAAGTGGGTGCATGTTGTACGTGGGGTTGCCCTTGATGCTTCCCTGGTTTCCAGGACATTATTCATTTCGATTCTCTCCTTCCCTCTTCAATAGCCAGTCGCCTTGTAGAGAGGGGCGTCCCTCCCTGTATTATACGCAAGATTTCGCAATAGCCTCGTTGATATCACTGGTCTCGTGCCCCCTCTCCCCTGCCCCTTCCGATACCTCCCTAGTAAATACGTTTGCCGTTCCCGCTCTTGGTTTTTCTTTGCCTCCACTTTATTCATCATGCTTCTCGGTTGGTTGATTCTCTCTTCGCATTCATATCGCAGTCGCTATCTTCTCGAATGTATATCATGCAACCCCTTTCAGTCGCGCTTGTTTCGCGCGTCGCGAGGACTGCGTTCTGAAGGACATGCAGTGCCCTGTCACCGGCAAGAAGCTGAAGGGCAAGGAGGAGAGTATGGTGCACATCTCGTCGTGCGTTCTCGTAAATATGTCCTACTGTATGCCGTGGGTGACAGTATATTACATGTTGAAGAAGCAACGGGGTCTCGGCAAACACATACATGAGTTGGATGCTATGATTTATGACGCTGCAGTCCAGGCCAGCCTATATGTGGCAGTCTTCACTTGCATTCTGCGGCCGCCCCCGTCGGACGTCGTTGTTGCGATTTGTTCGATCACAGCCGTCCGTTAAAGTGGTTAGCTTCAATGGTCGTTTCCGAAGGGATTTCCCCCCCCCCCCTCCAAGATGGCACGGCGGGGGCCCCACATCCCGTTCCGGAGGATATTCTCAAGCTGCAGATGGGCAACTCGGGCTTCTCCGCCCACAACGACATCGAGGCCCTGGGAGGAGGGGGAAGAACTCACGCTGAAGCAGAAGGGATGCCACCAATTCATACGGAGGAGGCAGCTGGAGGAGAGCGACGGAGGGAAGAACTCGAGCGAGTGGAGGGAGAGCAAGCGCGATGGAGGATCAGAGCCTGGTTTTGTTGCGTGGTTCGTTGCTCGTTGCGCGGATTTCCCAGCTGGCCCCACCCTCTCCGCCCTCCTCTGTTCTCCCTCTCTTATCCCGTGCGCTTTAAAATGTATAGAGTGTGTGTGTATACATATATATATATATATATATAGTCAATGTTCCCTTTTACGGTTGCGCAGACATGTGCGTATCTTCAGCGCCGACGCCCATGTCCCAAGCATCGGGACCTCCACCCCCCACGGCGCTCCCAGGGCGCCTGGGGGAGGTTCGCCAAGCTCTGGGGCGGGTCGACGGAAGGTGTTGAATGGCAAGCTTCCGTTGCTGTCATGTTCGCTGCACTCATCCATTCGTGTCAATGATAGCGTGCTGCGGCAAGGCCAGTGCTTTGCGATAGGGGGCTAAACGTGCATCGTGAGCTTCTGGGCTGATGCCCGAGTGATGTTCTGCGCGCTGTCTGATTCGTCGCGGGGGAGCCCCCGACTTTGCTACGCCCCTTTGGCGCCTTGACTACAGCGGGGGGGGGGTCGGGGCGAGCAGTTGCACTTGCAAGGGCATTTGTGATCGGGATTATCCCTGTATCGAGTGATGTGTTGTTCACTCATAATCTACCGTTCTACTCATTTTTACCACATGCCCTCTGAACACGCTGTGGGACGCGACAGAGCTCTCCGTGAGCTCTCCACACCGTCAAAGTGGTTGCCAAGATGGCCGATCCAACTTACTTCAAGACGGTCCGCAGCGGCCAGAAGGGAGTTCCAAGACGCCCCAAAAGAGGCCCCAGACACATGTTTGTTTGCTTGTATGATTGTTTTGTTGGTTTGTTGTTTGTTTGTGTGTTTGCTGCTCGCGCATTTTCCTACAGATGGTTTCTGGAGCGCTTCAGACAGCCTCAAAACGCGTAAATCAGGCCCACAACTCACCAGCGGGGCCCCAATGTAGTTCAAGAGAGCTCACATAATGGACGCAGCACGGCCCAAGAGAGCCCAAACATGCCCAAGACAGTACCATGACGATTACGTAGCCATTTTGTCTCAAGCCCATTGTGGCTCAAAGGCCCCCTTTGTGCTCGAGCCGTTGGGCCCGCCAGCAGCGAGGGACGCGATCGACTCGATCCCCGCGGCCGCAGGTGGCGGCGCAGAGCCCACGAAGTCGAACGGTCCCTCGGAGGAGGCGCGCTGGCCGACGGAGGGGCCCGACCCGCAGCGCGGAGATGCGCCGGTGCCTGAGGAGGACGAGGTGCGCAGGTTGTCGAAGCTTTCGTTCAACATGGATCCTGTTGTAAGCAGCGACTCGTCGCTGGTCGTCGCCATCGATGTACTGTCAGCGATTTGATGTTGTGGCCGCATCTTCAGGAAACAGCATACTGCGGCCAAGTACGCCAAGGACGCGGACAAGATTGACGACTCCTGGTCGTACAGCAGGCACGGCAACGACACCGCCCGCACTTTGATGCTCCTGCTGCACTACAACGGATTCCTGTCCGCAGTGGTGGGAATCCTAGCGGCCGTCGTCTGCGCTGGCCTGATGCCGCTGGACTGGGTGCCAAACCACAACTTGGCAGGCATCCTTGCTATGCTCCTGGCGACCTGTGTGGCCTTCGTCGTGGTGCTGACGTCCGTGGTTCCAGGCGCGTGTTCCTCGACTTCGCGTGCATTCCTCAAGACGACGAGGAAGCCAAGAAAAGAGGTATCCTGAGCCTCGCCCACACCCTGAAGCGTTCGGATCGCATGATCTTGCTTTGGGACGGAACATACTGGTCTAGGCTCTGGTGCGTGTTCGAGTACGCAGCCTACTTGAAATTGAAACTCAATGGCAATGCGTCCAAGAGGATGATGGTGTTGCCGGTGCCCACCGGCATGTTGACGTTGGGAACGTTCATTACCATCTCGGTGATGATGTTCTGCATGAAAACGTATTTGAAAGGTGCGGTGATCAGCTTTGTGACCAACACCGTCCTCTGTCTGGCACATGGGGGCCTCCGATACGTGAGTTGGCTGAAGGACCAGCGCATCCAGTTCTGAGGGGGTCGAACTGCTTCTGCTGCGCGGTCGAGCACGTCAACCCGAAGACCGGCGAGAGGATGGGCTTTGACAGAGTCCTGATCGAGGCGTCCGTAGTCGCTTGGTTCGGATGCATCGAGTCCTTCGAGAGCTGTGTCCGCGACACGATGCACGATCTCGTCCACGCCCGGTCGTTCCTGCCGTACAGGTACTGCGCCATGGGGGGCATGCCGTGGTTCGTCTGCTCCATCGGCGAAGCCATCTGGCTTTTGAGGTCTGGCGACGTGCTCACCGCCCTGCTCTGCCTGAGGCTGGGGGCCAGCGGAGCATTCGTGTACGCGCCCCTGCTTACACGCGTCGTCTTCTGCTCCTTCAACATTTGTCGGCCGAGGTCCGCGATCAGGACTTCGCTGTTCCGCGCGGTATTGGGCTGCACTGCGATCTGCGGGTTGCTCCAGATGAGCTTTTTTGCCTCCATACACTTTCCATACCTTCTCGTGGGTCATGTCCACTGGTCAGCGGTGAGCAGCATCTTCTATTTGGCCATAACGGCCGTAGTCTATATGTGCGACATCTGAGGGCGCCCCCATACATCTCTTTTTACATTATACATTGAGCTCTGTACGCAGCCACGCCGGAGGGAGGGGGTGGTGGATGGATCTCGTGTGGGGGGTGGGTGGGTTGGGAATAGTCCTGCCTGTACTCTACTCTCCAGAGCGTGGGATGAATCTGATCCCTTCGAGTCAATACTCTTCTCACCACAGCCATTCCCACATCCAGTGACTCTCGTAGACGACCTGAGGTCAACAGGTACGCTTGGCCTCGTCGCGTGAACGCTGGCCCCTTTTGCCCGGTACCGACGTGGCACCTCGCTCCTGCAGCTGGCGAGGGCCAGGGCACCAGGGCACCAGCAGGAGGATCGCGCTCTCTCTCTCTCTCTCTTTCTCTCTCTCTCTACCTCTTTCTCGCTGCTTCCTCGTCGTCGTCGCCTCCTTGCTGTCGTCCCCCCCTCCCCCTCTTCCCCCCCTGCCGAGCTCTGGCTCTGCGGCGGCTCCCCGGATGGAGCCGCACGTCGCCAGGACGCACTGGGCAGGGCTTGCTTTTATAGACGCTTCTGGGAAGCTGTCCCGCATTTCTCGAATCATCATTTTTCGGGGGCGGAAAAGAGGGGGGGGATGACTAGGGGGGGTGGATTTCATGGCGCGGGCCATGATATTTCCCCAGATTTCATGGCGCCTTTTCTTAGTTCATTACGTCCCAGACCCCCCCGCTGGGCCGCGCACATGCCGCCGGTCATGATTTGTACCCCCCCCTCTTGGACACCCCCCTCTTTGCCGCTCCCGCGGCTGCAGGCCACCACGGTCAAGGGATCGCATGTTCGGCTCCAAGCCACCACAAGCAGTGGCCTCTGAAGTGGAGCGGCACAGGGGCGAGTCCGTGGGGCCCTTTTTCGCACGGCCGTTGCTGATGTGCAAGACTGCTCCGACCGGGGTCGCTTGCTCTGCGGCGGCTGGCCCCCCCCGCCCCACGGGGACAGTTCTGGCTTTGCGGGGCGACGCTTGTGCTCGCGGTTCCGCCCTCCCCAGGGGGCCGCCTGCTGAGTACTCAACGGCCGTCGGCCCGTCACGCCACCGTGTTGTGTTGTGGGCCACTTGGTATTTGCGAAGCGTTCGCCATCGATAGAGTTCGGATGGAACTCCCGCGGAGGAAAACAAACTGGCCCAAGAGGAGGCCGTCTTGCAGTTGATCGCCGCTTGCAGGCAGTTCAATAGTTTGTCCGCAGGGTCTGGTCGCTGCTGATCCTCCCTCACGCGTCCTTTCTCACTCCTTGCCTCTTCCATGAGTTTTCGGCATCGGTTTGTCACTCGCGCCCGGGCGTGTTAGAGTGACAAGCAGGGTTGTTGCCGATTGTTCAGTGGCGGAGATGTTTCAGTTGGCCGTTCGGTATGCTACTCGCGTACGGGCGTGCCAGCTTGTTGGGCCGTCTTCCAGGTGTTGCGCAGCAGAAAAAAAAGGCAGTACCAAGACGATCCAAGCGAGCCTTCAAAGAGCCCCATGATTAGCCAAGACGGCCCAAGCGGTCCCGAGGAGCCCCCGAGGCCACCCCTAAATCCCCTGGGGAGGTCCCCAAGAGGCCCCCTATGCGGCCCAAAGGGAGGCCCAAAGGCGGCCCACGGACGGCTGACGAGCGCACCAGAGCGAGCCCAAAGAGTGTGAGAGGGCCCCAAGACGGTACAGTGGAGACGCATGCCAAGAAACACCCTGCTCATCTCCAGGGTGCCCTTTAGTTGCTTGGGTCTCGCTGGCTTTGCGATGGGAAGCGCGACGCCCCCGCACCAAAAGTGGAGTCCCTGGACGCCCTGGCGTCTCAGGGTTGGGTCTCCTGTGGAAGTTTTCTCGTGGTCGAGCCCCGACTGCGGGGCCCAAAAGGGGACTCCCAAAGAGAGCCTCGGCGAGGCGGGCCCGCACCCCCTGCAGACGGCGGCACCCCGAGGGCCTCGGGGGCCCCGAGGGCCCCGAGGCGCGGGCCTCGGGGGCCTCGGGCCTCGAGGGGCGGGCCTCGAGGGCTCGAGCTCGGGCCTCGAGCGTCGGGCCTCGAGGGCTCGGGCCTCCAGGCCTCGAGGGCTCGAGGGCCTCCCGCCGGCCGCCGGGCCGGGGCCTCGCGGGCCCCGACGGCGCCCTCCGCGGGGCGCGCTCCCGGCGGAGGCCCGCCGCGGGCCCAAAGGCGCCGCGCGGGCGGCCCCCCCCCTCGGCCAGCCCCGGGAGCCGTGCTGTCCGACGAAGGCAGCTATGCACCTGGCATCGCTCGGACGTGTGCATTTTTTCTTGGCGAGAACCACTGAGGACGAGCCTGGACCATCGAGCAGACAACAACCACGCACAAAAACCGAAGAGTGCAGCGGGAAATGGACGTCCGAGCGATGGCGAGTACACCACCACCGTGCCGGGCCGGGGCCATCCTGGGTTCCAGGATGGTGTATAGACCCTCCTGGCCTCGGCCACGGTGGCGTATACACCATGCCAGGGCCAAGATGGCCTTGGCCTGGCACGGTGGTGGTGTGTGTATATATATGTATATATATATATATATATATATATATATGCCTTCTGCGTATACAGACGGCCCCAGTCGGAGGGTTTGACAGACCTCCTGCCCTGACGCGTCGATTAGCGAATTGGCCGTTTTTCGGTTCGCGGGAGGGCGCCGCGGCCGTCCTTTTTTGCGGGTCCAGGTCCGTCGGTTTCGGTCTCAGGGCGTTTTCACGAGAGGGAGGTTTATTTTAGAGGGGGAGCGTTTTCCACCGCCCACCCAGGATTCTCCGAGGGAGCGCCGAGAGTGCTCCAGGGACGCCAGGGCGGCCTCGATGCAGTAAGACACAGACGCATCGCTGCCTTGGTGCGGCGGCCTGCCTGTGGGGCTATCAGTGTACATGTTTGCCCCGGGCGCTGCCGATCCCAGAAAAGGCATGACCTCGGGGGTCCACCCCACGGGCACGGTGAGATAGCCATTGGATTGATTTGAGTGTGAACCCAGCGTCCTCCGCCTTGGAGTCTGCAGGAGGGAAAAATACAGATGGAACGAGCCGTTCCGAAAATCACGTTCATCTGGCACCTGCGCTGCACATGCCACAGATAGAAGCAGATATACACACGGTGGGCGTCTATGAAAACCATATGCGGTTTTCGTCAGGACCATCATGAGGTAATTAGGCCTACACTGCAGTCTTAGCGAGGCGTCTTGAGATCGGTCTTTCTATCGTCCTCCCCTCCTTTCTCGTTGTCCCGTTCCTCCCCAGACCGTCAAACCGCTTGGTAATCATGTGCCATTTTCTCGAAGGTGCCCTTGCATCCTTGCCTCCCCGGCCCATCCCTGGCCACTATCGGCGGCCGCGCTGCGCTCGAAAAGCCTCGCAACGGCCTCCCAGGGCCCTTGCATCCTTGTCGCGCATCCTTATGATTCGGGCTGGCCGTACAAGTGGGCAGTTCTGAGAGCTGGAGGCCTGCCGCTTCGGCCTCCGCCTCCGCCCATCCCCGTGTGACTTTTCCTTCTCGGGCCAGGTTCGGTGCAGTCGAGTCGGCATCAGCAGGTCGAAGCGAGTCCGTGGCCCAATTGCTGCTTGACGACGTCCCGCTCTTCAGGTCGCCCCCGCGAGGCGAAGGGCAAGACAGGCAGGTCCTCCGTCCGTCGTAACGGAGTCGGGAGGCTGCGTGCCTGCATTGGAGTGGGGCCAGGTCGGACAGGGAACCACTGCCCGTCGTCGAAGCCCGGTGCCGCCACGTGCGGCGTATAGGGGCCGTACGCATCGCACGCATCCGTCGGATGGTATGCAGGGTATCGACTGGCAGGCGGACGGCCAGGATTTCGGGTTGCGCCTGCCCCCGCTGGGTGATGTGTCGTCCTCCTTCTCCTCCTCGTCATCATCATGCGCCCGGCCATCGTGACACGCCGGTCGTTGAAAGTAGGTATTTTTGGATTCCCAGATCCCAATCTACTTCAAGCGCCTTCCTACTTCAAGAATCGACACGCTTTGGCTGTGTTCTGTTATTCTCTGGAGGGGCCTGGACCCAATCAACTTAATCCGCCTTCCTACTTCATGTTTTTACCTACTTCTTCCGACCGACGTGTACGCTGCCATCAGTGGTTGTGTTTCCGCTCCGCCCCCTCGTGCGGATGGATCAGCAAAGCATGCTGTGGCACTCCAAGAGCGGCCAAGTCCGCCCTCGGAAGGTTTTGGGATCCTGGAGGCTGAGAGTCATCTGCGACATGGATTCTGGACCTCCCCTTCTCCACCTCTTCTGCGCGGGTGAGTTCGGCAGCAAATCATGGGTGCCTGGTGTACCCTCTTAATACGTTCGCTAGTGTCGATTAGCGTCCGATATCGTCTGGGAGTCGATGAGATAGCGCCGATTTAGCGTACATTAGCGTCGGTTAGCGTCGTTTTAGCGTCGACGATCGTCGATTCACAAGAGCCGAGTACGGGAGGCTCCCACGAGTTGCCACCGAAGGTGAGGTCGATGGATTCGGATTCTCGGGGCTGGCGGACGCGAAGGCGGACGCGAAGTTTGGAGGGCGGTCGGAGGTGCTCAGAGCTTCTGGGCTATGGGAGGCGGACCTTCCTGCGGTCCGCGAGCTCGGGCGCCAGGCCCTCCAGCCAGCCCGTTCGAGTGACGACAGCGGCAGAGAGAGAGAGAGAGAGCGAGAGCCAGCTTGATAAGCAATCGAAGTACCCCTAATAATTTGGGAGGGGAGAGGCTAAACAGCATTAAAGACCAGGGGTTGCTGATGCACATATATCGGACCAAACCGCACATAAGTATGATCCCTAAAGCGAAGACGGGGACCTAAGTGAGCCCACGTCTTCAGCGTGTTATTAGGGTTAGGGGTTCTTTTGTTCTCCATGGCAGCTGTCTGAGATTTGATGAGGCAATTTTTCAATGTTCGGTAAACCAACGCGGGAAACATAAACGGCTGCCCAACACACACGAACAATACTACAGCTTGCCGAGAGAGACGGCACGACGAGAATCCAAAAGCGGAACACGCAGGTTGACCCCAGAGTTAGACAACACGTCGATTTTGGGAACTAAAAGCGAGCACAGTGCTTAACATGATCTAGACACCATACTTGTTCTGCGCTCTCTCTCGCGCGCAAGCCACCCCGCTCGAGATGATCGGAGCGTGCGCCTCGCCCGCCGGACGCGCAGGCCAAGTCGTTCTCGCACATCCGCAGCCACGCCGCCGACTGCCGCCGGGCGCGGTCCGGCCACCTGCCCAGCGCTGGGTGCCTCCGCCCCTCGCGCCAGCGCCCGGCATCAGGCAGTGGCGAGGCGTCCCGGCTCGCCCGCAGGCCCACCAAGTAATGTACTATGAACCTCTTGTGGTCTGCCCGGAATGTTCCCAGAACACTTCTGGCTGAGACCGGGTTGTTTGCCAGCACATCGGGCTTCTCTTCTGAGAACACTGTTCTTGCTCTCAGAACATTGGTGGGTTCTAAGAGCATGCCGTGGTAGGCCTCTAGGAATGCCTGGACGGTCGGTCCCTGCCCAACGGCACGCCTCACGAGCGCCGAGCACATCCGTGCTTGCGCCCTCGCGGTCTGGATTCCGCGGCGCGATCCCGCGGATACTCGGTCGCGCGGGCACGTGCCGCGCAGGGCATCCGCGAACAGAAGCGCCCCGTATCCCCGGGGTCGCGGCCCGCGAGGCCGCGGATGCGGATCTGTTTCTCGCCCACGGAAGCCGAGGGAGCGGCGTCGAGGTTCGAGACCCTTTGTCATCCCCGCGGTGATAGCAGGCGCGACCAGGGGCATCGAGGTTCGAGAGACCGTTTGTCATCCCCTGACGATGCCGGGCGTGACCCGGGGGGGGGGGGAGCGGGGCAGGGGGCCGGAGACACGTTGCGGTTCGCGCCAGCGCCATCTGGGCAATCTGCGGAGTGGCTAATCCCAGAGGGTGCCAGCGCGAGCCGTGACGTGGCCCGAGGCGCGGGTGGAGGCGGGAGGTGGCGGGGCCAGGCTGGTCACGGGCGCTGCCACGAATAACGTAAAAATGGGCAGGGACGAGGGAGGGGCGTCGAGGTTCTGCTGGACGCTTTTGGACACGTCTTGGTGCTCCCAGCGGCCGCTGGATAGCGCCAGGGGATGGGGCAACGTTAGGGGGGTATAGGCTCAGGGGCAACGCCAGCGCGGGCAGGAATCGTTTTGCTCGTCTTGAGGATCGAGGCTCGAGTTTCGATGTTTTCGAGCGTCTTCGCTGGTTCTCGGCGGTTTTCTGGCCCCCGGGTTCTCAAGCAGTGGCTCACCGAGGGCGTGCCGAGTGTGTCCAGATCGTCACGGATGGCCGACGGAGAGCCGAGTTGTGGACTGAAAACCAGGTTGGGGGGAATGGGCAGCGAGGGATGCAATGACCCCCGATCGCCTTCTCATCGCCGATAGGGGTCCGATAGCCCGCCCCGCCCAGGACCGTGCGGATTCGCTATCGGGGGCCGATCGCCTATCGCCGATCCATCGGCGATGCGATGCATCACCGATTCCAGGTCGGTGTTTCCCGCCCTGAGCCGCCCCCCCTCCCCTACGAACGCTTCCCCTCAGAGGAGGAGGAGGAGGAGGAGGAGGAGGAGGAGGAGGAGGAGGAGGAAACCACCAGCTCCTCCTCCTTTTTCTGAGGGCTTGCTCAGAAAAAGGAGGGGGAGGAGGAGGTGGTGGAAGAGGTGGAGGACGAGGCGACCACTTCCTCCTTCCTCTGACTGGGCACGGGGAAACGGGCTGGTCGCATCAGACCGTTTGGCGGAGGCACCGACAGCAGGGCGAGGGAGTCTGCACATACTCGAAGTGCGCGATTTGCAGTTATCGTGGTGCCACAGAGAGCGTTGAGTAAGGGTCAAAGGAAGGCGTTGTCCTGGCCACGGGGGCCCCCGGCCGCCACGATGTCACCCGACCTTTTTCTAAGGAGCGGCCCGAAAGCCCGAGCCTGTGCCGAGCCCGAAGGGATCCTTGCTTCAGCGTGTGAGGAGAGGATGGCCAGGGCCCCACAAGCGGGGACCAACTGATGGGAATGTCTTCCCTTCCCCCCAGGCTCAGAGCTTCCGGAGGGGAAAGATGCCGATACCGCTATCCGTCCTCGTCGCCACCGCTGAATTCGCCGCGGGACCCTGGTCAGACCGCACCCTGTAGGAGGCACACAGAGCAGCAGTATGGGTTGTCATTTTGCTCCCCCAAAAGCAACCTCTTCCAAGGGTCGGACTCCCGTGATATTACACTCACATTGCACACGTTCCATTGAGCCGCGTGTTGCGCGAGCTGGCAGCAGCAGTGAATCCTGGCGCGCTCGGTTAGACTCAGTCAGATTCCGTGCCGATGCGGCCCGACCCGATTTGCATCCCGATCCGATCGGACTCCCCGGTTCGATGATGATTGATCTTGACAGATCGTAAATTCGGGACGTCCACCATAGTATGGCTTGTGTGGCCACCACTTGGTTGCACATTTCGGCCCAGACACCGTGACTTGATGTGGTTCAACACCTGTCGCCTGGCCTGGAGAACCAGCCAGAAAATCATACACTATGCATTTTCTTGTGGCGTTTCTGCGAACCCCCATGGGACAGTGCCCAGATACTTGTGAGTGGATGAGGGGGAGGAGGAAAAAGGAGAATACGGAGAAGACGCAGACGAGGGGGAGGAAGAGGAAGATGATGATGATGAGGAGGGAGGGCGACGAGGAGGAGGAAGAGGTGCTGGATGAGGAGGAGGAAGAGGTAGTGGAGGGAGGAGGCAAAAGGGTGGAGGGAGGAGGAGGGAGAAGGAGAAGGATACGCTCGCTCTGTTCCCATGAATCTCGATGCCTTGGCGCGCCCGTTCCAGGTTCGCTGGCCTGCGGTAAGCGGCGCGCCGCTGCACGCGCTGAGCGCTCGTGCTGCCCGCTGGCGTCGGCGGCGCGTCTCTCGCGCCGCCCTGCTTGGCGAGCAAGCGCCTGTCGAGCGAGCGCTTAAAACGTCG